CCAACTCAAAAAAAAAAATTTTTTTTTCTTCAATAATAAGTTAACCTTAGCTTACAGTAATTTTTTTTACTTTATAAACCTTTTAACTTTTTAAACTTTTGAACTCTTGTGTAGCTTAAAACACAAACCCATTGTGCAGTTGTGCATAATATGTTCTTTCTTTCTATTCTTAATCTATAAACTTTTTAAAATAAAAAAAACTTTTAAAACTTAAAAAAAAAAATAAAGACACAAACACACACATTAGCCTAGGGTCAGAATCATCAATATCTCTGTCTTCCACCTCTACATCTTGTTCCACTGGAAGGTCTTTAGGGTTAATAACACACAGAGCTATCATCTCCTGTGATAATGTCTTCTTCTGGAGTACCTCCTGAAGGACCTGCCTGAGGGTGTTTTACAGTTAAGTTTTTTTTTCTTCTTCTAACAAGTAGAAGGTGTACACTCTAAAATAAAAATATGTGACAAGACTCAGTGGCTCAGCCCATAATCCCAGAACTTTGGGAGGCCGAAGCGAGTGGATTGCTTGAGCCCGTGGGTTTGAGACCAGCCTGAGCAATTTGGTGAGACCTCATCTCTACAGTAAATAAAAAATTAGCTGGGCATGGTAGTGTGTGCCTGTAGTTCCAGCTACTTGGAAGGCTGAGGTGGAAGGATCGTGGGAGCTCAGCAGGTCAACAGTGGGGTGACCGTGAGTGTACCACTGCACTCCAGCCTGGGCGACAGAGTGAGACTCCAACTCAAAACAAAAACAAAAACAAGCAAACAAAAAAACAGTGTGCCAGATACAGTGGCTCACGCCCATCATCCCAGCACTTTGAGAGGCGGAGGCGAGAGGATTATCTGAGCCCAGGAGTTCAAGACCAGCCTGGGCAACATGGTGAGACCTTGTCTCTACAATAAATACAAAAAAATTAGCTGGGTGTGGTGGCACGCACCTGTGGTCCCAGGTACTTGGAAAGCTGAGGCAGAAGGATCACTTGAGTCCTGCAGGTTGATGCTGCACTAGCTGTGATCGTGCCACTACACTCCAACTTGTGTGACAGAGTGAGAATCTGACTCAAAAATAAATAAATAAATAAATATTTAAAAATACAAAGAAAATAAGATAATAAAAGTAGAGTATAGTAAATACACAAACCAGTAATATATCACTGATCATCACGATTAAGTATTATGGTCAGTACTTAGTTTTATGTACTATACTTGTATATAACTGGCAGTATAGTAAGGTTGTTTACACCAGCATCTGCACAAACACGAGTAATATGTTGTACTATGACATTACTACAGCTATGACACCTCTAGGGAAAGGAATTTTTCTGCTCCATTATATAATCTTATAGGACCACCATTGTCTATGTGGTCCATTGTTGACAGAAATGTCATTATGGGCTGGGCCTGGTGGCTTATGCCTGTAATACCAGAGCTTTGGGAGGCCAAGGTGGGAGGATTGCTTGAGGCCAGAAGTTCGAGTCTAAAAAAAAACAAAGAAGTTCGAGTCTGTCCTGGGCAAAATAGTGAAACCCCTGTCTCTACAGAAAATAATAATAATAAAAAAAAACTATCCAGGTGTGGTGGCATGCACCTGAAGTCCCAGTTACACGGAGGCTGAGGTGGGAGGATTGCTTGAACACAGGAGTTTGAGGGTGCGGTGAGCTATGATGGTACTATTGTACTCCAGCCTGGGTGGCAAAGTGAGACCCTGTCTTAAAAAAAAATTAAAAACCCAAAAAACTGAAAAATCCAAGTCATTATGCAGCACATTATGTAGTTGGAATCCGACAGAATGTAGCTTGTTGAGATTAACTTCGTTCACTTAGTAATACACCTCTAAAGTTTTCCTGTGTCTTTTCATAGCTGGATACCTCATTTCTTGTTAGTGCTGAATAACATTCCATTGTCTGAATGAATCACAGTTGATGTATCCATTCACCTCCTGAAGTACATCTTGCTTGCTTTGAAGTTTTTGTAATTATGAATAAAGCTGCTATAAACATTTGTATGCAGGTTTTTGTGTGGGTATAGTTTTCAGCTCCACTGAGTAACTATCAAGGAGTGCAATTGCTGGATCACAAGATAAGAGTATGTTTAGTTTTGTAAGAAATTGCCAAAATGTCTTCCAAACTGGCTGTACTATTTTGCATACTCGGTAGCAATGAATGACAGTTCCTGTTGCTCCATATCCTTACCAATGCTTTTTTTTTTTTTTTTTTTTTTGAGTTGGATTCTCACTCTGTCGTCCTGATGCTCCCAGCCACCGCAGCCTCGACCTGCTGGGCTCCGGTGATTCTTCTGCCTCAGGCTTCAAGTAGCTGGAACTACAGGCGCGTGCTAGCACACCCGGCTAATTTTTTTTTTTTTAATTTATTGTAGAGAGGAGGTCTTACCAATGAACTCGCAGGCTCAGACAATCCACTCCTTTCGGCCTCCCAAAGTGCTGGGATTACAGACTGAGCCACCGAGCCCGGCCGTCTTACCAGTGTTTGGCATTGTCAGTGTTCAGGATTTTGGACATTCTAATAGGTGTGTAGTGGTATCTGATTGTTTTAATATGCAATTCCTTAATGACATGATGAGGAGCATCTTTTCATATGCTTCTTTGTAGCATTACAGATAGGATTTTGACATGGCTAGCAGTGAATTTACATACAGCAAGGCCAAGATCAATTTGGTGAAGAATTGCCATCTTAGCGTTATTGAGTCATCTAATCCATGAACATGGAACTTCTCTTATTTATTTAGATTGTCTTCAACTTCCCTCAACAATGTTTTATAGTTTTTAGTGTTCAAGTCTTGCAAATTCTTTTGTTAAATATATTAAAAAAAAATATATATATATTCTTAAGCATTTACTTCTATTTAATGCTGTTGTGAATGGAATTGTATTTTTATTTAATTTTAAACTTTCTTAGCATCAGAAGACTTTATCATTAGAAGAACATTATTCTCATTTTCTATAAATTGAGGCAATATACTGGGGGGACCCCCCAAAAACTGGAATTTGCTCCCCTGGATCAAGCAGTCAACCCAAGTTTTTATCCGGAAACTTTGAGAAGGTTGCATCACAATTTGTGGGAAAAAGTCTTGAGTTGTGGCAAACAGGTAACTGACTTTTCCACCAGGACAGCACACCTGCCCACACCACGCTGAGCATTCAGCGGTTTTTGACCAAAAATGGCATGACCCTATGCCCCATCCTCCCTATTCACCCGATCTCACCCCTGCTGCGTTTTTGCTTGTTTGTTTCCCTGGATGAAAAAGGTTCTCAAAGGGAAACGCAAAATGGCAGAAGTACTATATGTCATCAAAATTGACAAGTCCAAAAACTGTTTTACGCAGTGGAAAAAAAGCATCTCAATAGGTATATTGCATCAAACAGAGAGTCCTGTGAAGATGACCAAAGTTTAAACATGTAAGAATAAATACACAATTTTTAAATAAATAAATGCTCGGGTTTTTTGGGGGCCTCCCTTGTAATTCCAAGCTAATTGGCACTATTATCTCAAGCACATTGAAGTCGAAATCCCAAATACTTTATAGCGACTCAAGTGAATTGAAGTTCCTTATTGACCATAGATTTTTAATCTTTAATTTCATTTTTTGGCATAAAATGACAACTACTTATTTGGCTGACGATTATTTTGGTTGACGGTTTGGGCTGGGCTCAGAGACTGGGTGGTTTTCCAAGTCTGTGCTGGGCTTGTGTGCCCATGGTGACCTGCCGGTCAGGCAGGTGGCTCTGCTTTTTGAGACAGGTTAGACAGCAGGAGTGCCTGGACCATATTCCTTTCATGGTGGCAGACTGTCTCAGCTTGCTTTTGTGGTGTGTCACAGGGGTCTGAGAGAGAATAGAGATGCTTTAGACCCCATGAGACCTGGGCTTATCCTTGTCGTGCCACATTCTGTCATGCCTTAGAATGGCCACTCTGCCTTATTCTGTTACTCACAGAGAATCACAAGGCCAGCCCAGATTGAAGGTGAGGGGAAACTGTCCTGTCTCTTGATAGGAGGAACAGATACTAAGTGGTGAGGATATAGCAAGGGAATAATGACTGCCATTTGTGCAAACAATTTACCGTGGTTGTGTGTCTCTTTGTAATTCAGTCTGTCTGATTAGAATCTGAGTCTTTTTCTGTTGGGGCATTACCCACCTTCTAAATCTTGGCAAGGACAATTGCTATCTCTTCCAACAGGGACTGAATATGCTACATATTTGTTTCATATTCTGTTGCATCTAGAGCCCCAGCACCTGTGCTGTTTAGAAGTGAGGAAGCTGAGGCAGTAGGCACAGTGTGGGATTGATTTTCTGATTAGGGCAATGACAGGGTAGCTGGCAGCAAGGCCAAGTTCTTATTTGCAGAAATGGCAACCATGCCGGTGTTGACCTTGGTTGCAATCAAGTTAGTTTCAGAATGGAAATATGGCAAGGGTGCCACTGTTGCCTCTATTTCTCTGCTGTAGCAGGGTCATCCATATCTTATGGGAACAGGGCCTGGTGCTGTGTCTGTTTGGCTGCACTTTGCTGTAACTGGACATGGTGAGCCCTTGTTAGTTACTAAAACAAGTCCATACCCTAGAGATGGGTTGGATTGGCCTCAGGTTTCTCTCCGGCAGGGAGACTTTTAGTCTTGCCCTGATAGTCCTCCTTGGCTCCAAGGGTGTCATCGAACCATGCACAGTGAGGGGAGGGATCCAAGGAGGCTGGGTGCATGAGTGACCTTGTTTGGCCTGTCCCCCAGGTTTGCTTTTCATTTCAGTCCAGTGGTCTAGTGGCTGCCCTTGTAGCAATTAAAGACATATGAGTATTTAAAGAAAGGGGTCAGTCAATTGGAGAATTGGTGGTTGGAAATGATTTGTGGTTTTAGCATCACTTATTTAGCTTGTGAAGCTAACCTTGCTTCCAGGTGGAACCCATGACCCTGGCTGCTCAGAGCCCCTACAGGGTACTGATGTAAGTAAACCCAAGGGACAGTGTGTGCCTCTTGTTTTCCCTTCAGGCAGCTTGTGTGGTGACGGCACCGGTGCATGCTACCAGCTGCCTGTCTTTGATACCGTGTTTGTCAGGAGGAAGCACCGTCGCCAAGGCCTGGGGACGGCCATGCTACGAGATTTCTGCGAGACATTCCCAGAGGATGAGTTCCTGGGGATCAGTTGCCCAATTTCTCCTGCCATGCACCAAGGTAAAGCCACCTCATGTTGTGTAGAAGCATTTGGGTCATGGGTAATGGGTGACGTGTGCATTCCAGGGGGTCTGGGGAGGGAGGTTCCGGGGAGCCCTTGGGATGCTAATGCACTTGTGGGGAAATCTTCTGTTGCTTTATCACAACCTAAGACTTCATGTTTGATCAAAAGAAGTGAACCTTTCCCAAGCTGAGAAATAATTGGATTTAGAAACAATCAAAAACAAATCACCAGCCTCAGAAAGGAGGAAGTCCAGAGAGCTGGACTCTGTAAGAGTGGGGCCGCTGGCAGCAGGGGCTTTAGGCTGCCTTGCCTCTTCCATTTGAAGCTCTATTCCTCACTTTGTCCTTTGAGCTAAATGCCGTGGGGGAGCCCAGGAGCACTGAGCTCCCCCCAATTCCCCTTCTCTACCTCCCCCCCTGCCTCCTCTGTAGCTCTCGTTGCCCAAGACGGCTCACTCCCATATTCTTTATAGGTATTTACCAGAGGAGGATCAAAAGCTCCATGATAGTATGGGTGAGTGACTCGGGGGGGGCAGCTTTCCAGGCCCCTCATCCCCCAAGAAGCACACCCACCCCGCTTTGGTGTCCTGCTTTACTCCTTGCATGCAAGTGCTTTTGAACTCTTAGTATTGAGTTTCCAGTGTCCTGGACCAACGGCTAGAAGTGAAAAGTTAGGAAAGGTCAGGGAACTTCTGTGATTCTGAAGTCATACAGCAAATCAGGTGAAACATACTTTTCCTCAAGTAGGTTGAGTCATTTCTTTTGATTTTCAAGCTCTTAGTGCATTAGTAAACTCTGAAGAGCCTTGAATTTCTGCAGAGAGCACTTGAGGCTTCCTGCACCGTGTAGCTCATGTTCAGATGCTGGAGGGTTCCGGGGTCCAGGCAGCTTGTCCTCCATTCACATCAATGTCCCACCAGTCTCTCACCTCCTTCTTGGTTCAGTTCTGACACCTCTGTTTGAGTGAGTACGCCTCACTCCCCCCTCCAGTGTGGGCCACCTCAGAGTTTCAGATTATTTTGCCAGGGGAGCTGAAAAGAGTCCTTTCACCAGAAGAGCAGCCAGCTTCAAGGGCTGGGTTGACCCAGGGCCAGTCTTGGTATGAACCCTGTAGGGACCTGCAATCACTGCTGTCTCTCCTCTGTTTTCACCTGCAGAGAAAGAAGATCTGAAAGTGCTGATTGTGAATCATACTTCTCTGTTTTAGACAACCACGTGTCCTTGTCAGGCTTTTACTGAGAACAGTTCTGCCTTCTGACTAGACAAGTGGAACTTCTGCCCTGGGCCCTATGTTTTGAGCCCTCATTCAGTTGAGTCTCTCTCCAGGGGTGAGAACTCTATGGATCCAAGACGATGTGCCCACCTGGGTCCATGCTGTTTCTTCTAGAGTGGCAGCCTGTCAATGGTACCAGGACTCTAGAATTCCTGTCAGTGGCTGCTGAGAGCCTGAGAGGACCTCATCCCTGGATCTGTGCTCATGAGGGTGGACCACACCACCGGTTTGCACATCCTTAGATCCACAAGAGCAGTTATTGGTGGGCTGTAGATGGAGTGTTTGTTCATGCAGGCCCTGTGAGGTGTGGAGGAGTGTTAGGGTAAGGGGTCAGTGGGGTCGGGGGAGGGCAGCTTGCTTGGTATTGCCAATTCTGGTTCAAAATCACAAGGAGTTCAAGAATTCTAAATTTGAAACTGGCTTTCTTTGTTATTAGGGAGTTATATTTGTTGAGATAGGAGAGCGAAACATGCCATATAGAGCACTTTGTTAGCTTGGCTTATACCTTTCAATACAGGCACACCTCGTTTTATTGCTCTTTGCTTTCTTGCACTTTGAAGATATTGCATGTTTTACAAAATCTGCAGAAGAGTTGTGGCGACCCCGCGTTGAGCAAGTCTGTGGGTGCCGTTTTCCCAATGTCATGTGCTCAGGTTGTGTCTCTGTGTCACATTTTGGTAGCTCTCATAATATTTCAGACTTTTTCATTTTTATTATATCTATCATCGTGATTGGTGATGTAATCTTTGATGTTACTGTTGCAGTTGTTTTGGGGTGCCACGAACCAGTCCCATATAAGATAGCAAACTTAATTCACAAATGTGTGTGTTCTGACTGCTCTACCGACTGACTGTTCTTTTCTCTCTTTCTCTTATTGGGCTTCTCTATTCCCTGACACATAACAATATTGAAGTTAGCCCAGTTAACAACACTGCAATGATTTCTAAGTGTTCAAGGGAAAGAAAGAGTCGCTTCTCATTTTAAGTCAAAAGGTAGAGATGATTAAGCTTAGTGAGGAAGGCATGTCAAAACTTAAGACAGGGTGAAAGCCAGGCCTCTTGTGCCAAATAGTTAGCCAAATTGTGATGCAAAGGAAAAATTCTTGAAGGAAATTTAAAAGTGCTACTCCAGGTAACACATGAGCGATAAGAAAGCAAAATAGCCTTACTGCTGGTATGGAGTTAGCTTTAATGATCTGGAGAAAAGATGAAACCAGCCACAGCATTCCCTTAAGCTAAAGCCTAATCCACAACAAGGCCCTACCTCTTTTCAATTCTATGAAGGCTGAGTGAGGTGAGGAAACCACAGAAGAGTTTGAAGCCAGCCGAGGTTGGTTCATGAGGGTTATGGAAAGATGCTATCTCCATCTCCTTTGCTTCTCCATGCAGAATGAAGTAGTGAGTACTGATGTAGAAGCTGCAGCAAGTTATCTAGAAAAATCTAGCTAAGGTCATTAATGAATGCAACTATGCTAAACAACAGATTTTCAATCCTATTGAAAGGAGATGCCATCTAGGACTTCCATAGCTAGAGAGAAGTCAATGCCTGGCTTCAAAGCTTCAAAGGACAGGCTGACTCTCTTGTTAGGGGCTAATGCAGCTGCTGGTGACTTTAAGTTGAAGCCAGTGCTCACCTACTATTCTGAAAATCCCAGTGCTGTTAGGAATTATGCTAAGTCTACTCTGCCTGTGTTCTATAAATGAAATAACAATGCCTGAATGACAGCATATCTGTTTACAGTGTGGTTTACTGAATATTTTAAGCCTACTGTTGAGAACTACTGCTCAGAAAAAAAAAATCTCTTTCAAAATATTACTGTGACAACACACTTGGTCACCCAAGAACTCTGATGGAGATGTACAAGGAGATTAATGTTGTTTTCACGTCTGCTAACACAATATTTCTTCTTCAGCCCATGGATCAAGGAGGAATCTCAACTTTCAAGTCTTATTATTTAAGAAATACTTTTCCTGAGGCTATAGTTGTCATAGATGGTGATTCCTCTAATGGATCTGGGCAAAGTAAATTGAAAACCTCCTGGAAAGTATCTACCATTCTAGATGCCACTGAGAACATTTATGATTCATGGGAGGAGGTCACAATATCCACACTCACAGGCATTTGGAAGAAGTTGAGTCCAACCCTCCTGGATGACGTTGCGTTGTCTACGACTTCACTGGAGGAAGTAACTGCAGATGTGGTAGAAATAGCAAGAGAACTAGAATTAGACGTGACTGAATTGCTACAGTCTAATGATAAAACTTGAAAGGATGAGGAGTTACTTTTTATGGGTGAGCAAAGAAAGTGAGTTCTTGAGCTGGTATCTACCCCCAACGAACATGTTGTGAACATTATTGACATGACAGCAAAGGATTTTGAATACTACATAAATTTAGTTGATAAAGCAGCAGCAGGGATTGAGAAGATTGATTCCCGTTTGAAAAGAAGGTCTGCTGTGGCTAAAATAATATCATACAGTATCGCATGTTACGGAGAAATCTTTAATGAAAAGAAGACGTCAATCGATGTAGTACGCTTCTTTGTTGTCTTATTTTAAGAAATTGCCGCAGCCACTCCAGTCTTTAGCAACCACTGTCGTGATCAGTCAGCCACCATCAACATCGAGGCAAGCCCTTCTACCAGTGGAAAGATTGGGACTTGCTTAAGGCTCAGATGATCATTAACATTTTTTAGCAATAAAGTATGTCTAAATTATGCATATTGTATTTTTAAGCAATGCTATGACACACTTAATAGACTATAGTATCGTATAAACTTAACTTTGAAATGTCCTGGGAAACTTTCAAAATCGTGTGACTTGCTTTATTGTGATATCGGGTTTATTGCAGTGACCTTGATCTGAGCCCTCAATAATCTCCGAGGTAGCCTATACTTAGCGGTGCGCTCTATAGATCTTCATCTGTGCTTTTGCCCTGGGCCTCGCGAATGTCAGGAGAGGGCCTGATGGGGTCCCCGTGAGCACCTGTGAGGCCAGGGGCCGCTTCCCATTTACCTGAATTCACGACACTGCCATGTGAAAATGTTCACCGTGAACATGGGCATAGAAGTCTGAGAACTTTGACAAGATTCTGGGATCAAGGAGTCTGCAGAGGATAAGTGGAAGGTTCTATGGGAGCAGAGGGCTGAGGGGACTCAGGAGAGAGAGGTACATGAAAAGAGGACTGGGCTAGGGTGGTGTTACGGTATTGTGTCCCCCCCATTCATATTTTGAAGCCCTCATAGTGTCTGTATTTAGAGACAGGGCCTTTAGAAGGATAGTGACGGTTAAATGAGATCATAAGGGTGGGTCCCTAATCCAATATGACTGGTGTCCTTCTAAGAAGAGAGAGACACCAGGCATGCAGCATACAAAAGTGGCCATGTGAGGACACAGGGAGAAGAAGGTCATTCTTCACAGAGAGAGGGCCGTGGGAGACACGAAGTCTGGGGCACCTTGATCTCAGTCTTCCAGCCTCCAAAACTGGGGAATACATTTCTGTTGCTTAAGCCACCCCGTCCGTGGTTATTTTGTTAGAGCAGCCCTAGCAGATGAAGGCAGGTGGGATGGATGGAGATGGGAACACTGGACACGCAGGTGAGGATGCTGCATCCATGGTGGGTGGATGAAAAGGTGTTTAAATGTAGCAGGGATCAGAACAGAGAGCCGAGGTGGAGGTTGGCTGCAGGAAGGACTGGAGTCTGGGGACAGGAAGGTTATGTTTGG